TAGCGAATTGATTTTGTGGCATCATGGACATGTCTGTTAGAGACAGACCAAAATCAGAGGAATGATCCGTTTGCTCTCGGTGCCCAAGTTGTTGATGAAAGGTCGAATTCGAAGATGAATTAATCCAGCGATAGCACCGATATCTGCTACCACTTTCGCTAGTAAAATTCATGTCAGGGGCTCGGTAGTTTCCACAATAATTTGGTCCATTGTAGTCTCTTCTCCCAGTGTTGAAAAAGCTACTAGTAGCATCAAGATTACCAGGACTGCCATAACTACTATTGGTATAACCAGTTTTGTCTTCAGAGTTAAAAACTACATGTTCAGGGAGCCTGTGCGGTATTTCAGTGGAAGGTGGCGGTGCAAATCGTCTAGGTCCAGGAAAAGCTCGATTAAGTTGCCCAGGTGGGCCAAAATAAGGGAGGGGACCAGGCCAATGAGGCCAGTGCTTTAATTGTGGCTGCTGATGGGAGCGAGGATCGGATTGAAATGCCTGATTCATGGACTGTGGGGGCCTAAAGAGTTTAAAGTCTTCGGATCTGGGACCAGGCTGTCTCTTGCCGAATAAAACAACCTCTTTGACTGATCCTTCAGCTAGACACGGCCGCTGGTATTGACCGGGGCCTGTTCCTGAGGCAGGATGCTCTTGAAACCGCGATTTATTCTGATGAACTTGCTGCATTTTGGAGACTTGTTGTTGCCTACAATTATGAAGTAGTGAGGATCTGTTTGATTGAAGTGTTTGTTTTGGAGGTTGCTTATGAGGTTGATGACTTTGCTTGATCTCTTGCTCAGCCCCGGAATTAGCACTAGCATTCACATGAGGGCTAAGTGTGCGCTCGGTATTTGGAGCAGTTGGTTTTACTCGGAATGGCGAAGCCAAGCACAAAGATGGTGATAATGGCTTAAGTGAGGAAAAAGAGGAGCTGGAGTTGCCAGAAGGGCTAGTTATGGAGACTCCATCGGACTTAGAGACCTCAGGTTTAACGATGGCTCGTGGCCTCACCGAGTTGCTTTGGTCAACGTTAGAGAGATCAGGAATGCTATCATCTGTTTTTGTAGGGACTGAAGCAGTAAAAAAATATGATAAAATAAAGAATATCTCATAAGTGGTAAAATATAAGGTACTACGGTAAAGTTAACTTTAGAAGATTTACTACGTTATCGATAGTTAGCATTTGATCTAGTAAATAGGAAAGCTCCAAAGCCAGCTCCTAAGATTTGTAGTATAACCACTGTAGCAGCCTCATAACAACGGTAAAAAACAACTAGAAATTGCGGTTTTCATAAAGGAAGTAAAGAATACCTAAGATCAAGCTATGGAAAACTAGAATAAGACGATCAACTGGCTTTTTAGAATGTCCTAACAAGTCGTCACCATATGAACGTAAATGCATTACCAAGGTGTCATCAAAAAGCTCCAGCTAACTATTTCTTTCAATAGGGAATTGGCATAGGCGAAAACAAAACCCAAAAGTAGATCAATTATATTAACTAATTTGAACCAAAACAGAGTAGATAAACCCTCTCTAGAGTGTTTCATTAAAAAGATTTTATTAATTACAGAATATAGGGGACAGCTTAGCAGAAATGATAATACAAATTCATAAAAGCCGTTGTGATAGGAAATCAAGTAACTCAAGCATTAGGATCAACACAAGGAGCGTAGTAACAAATAGAAAGATAAAGATTGTGGCTCATATTTTGCTCATCGTATTTTTTCATTGTATAAAAGTGGTTTAACTTCATCATGATGAACGTAACTTGTCAGGAGCCCTTTGACAGTGGCCATGATAATACACATCGTAAGATGACGGGCTTAGCACATTTCCAGACGTTTCGGAGGTATCTTACTGCTCTTAGAACCAAGCTACGATTCGTCAAAGAGATAAGTGAAGTTCATCCCTTAATCAAATTTCTGTCTTGATGCTTCCAATACTCCTTAACTTCATACCTCACCCCATATATCAGCCTGTTCAGTCTGAATTATTCTAGGGATGTGTCATTTTGAGCGGGTCCTATGGGTTGTATTCAATCGTCTACTGGTTCCCTCTCTCCTTTGCCCTTAGGAAATCCAAAACAGACTTTGCTACTCAATAAATCCACTCGGGGGCACACTTCTGGGGTAATCTAGGCTAAAGATGATAAAAGTTGTATATAATAATTTGGTCATCCTTGATAACTCAAAGTTATTAAAAATGATGAATAATTTACATTTAAATATGAGAATTTCATCTGGATTTGCTTCAGAAAAAGTTCACTTAGAATAGACTATAAACCTACTCACATAGTGAATAAATTAGAAGTTCTGATGGAGAGAGTGCAATAAGAGAGTAAGAAACAGATGGATACACCAGAACAATATAAAAATAAATCAAGATATGAACTTCACCTATATTTTTTACGAACTGTAGCATGGTGATGATAATAAGACGATATCGACGAACAGTCTGGCAACGTGCCAAGTCTACGCTATGATGTTGCGAGCTATCATACCTAGTATGGGAAAGAAGCCGAGCAAGGTACGTACTTCAAGGTAAAACCACCTCCATAAAAGAAGATGAATAACTAATGTAATATTAGTAGGTTGACTAAAAATAAGTCGAGTATACAGTATACGTTTGTAGCTAGTAAAAAGGTATAATTTTCGTTTTCCAAGTAAGGATGATTAATCTAGT